AAGGACAAGCTCCACTCCCAGCACTTCTTTCTTGGTGGTATGACGTCCTTCTCTTCTCTGCTTGCTTCTCTTTTATATCTCAAAAGAGATTGACTCAAGATACAACCTAATCCTGTAGATTGAGTCCTGTCTTATTAACATAACTGCCTTTAATCCCACCTCATTATCATCATAAAGGTATTTATAATACACAATATAAATACATCAGATAGCAAAATGGAGGACAAGCACACAATACTGGGAACCATGGCCCAGTCAAGTTGACACACATATTGGGGGGACACAATTCAATCCAAAACAGTTGGTTAACTGACATGTGGACCAAGGGGGGTCCATACAAAATGAAGTCAAAATGCCAGAACTGCCTTAGTATACTGTAAAAGAAGGTATCCAAATGCTCAGGAAATTGGAATGTTAGAGTGGATTTATCATGTTGGACCAACAGACTCACCCAGGGAGTGCCCAGAGGACATAACTTTCACCAAAACTATGAAGAATAAATTCGTGAAGGGAGCCCCAGCATCCTTGAAGACTGCTGCGATTGCTCTTCTATGTAGGTCATATATTATAGCGGGAACTGCCCTAACTAAATTAAGACACCTAGCTATAATAGTGGTGATTGGATCCTGGGGTGGTAGGGGCCAAGCGGCAACACTTAATCTCTAAAGACAAGGTGGATGTGGTTATTGTAGTGTACAGCAGAGTCAAAACAGTAATAAATCACAATAGTTTGACTCACATGGACTTATGGCATTGGCTACTTAGTCATGGTGTCCCTAGGACTGAAATAGATGGGAAACCTACTACATATTTACTTAATCTGTACAAGTGGAAGAATTTGAGGTCAAGTGAACAGCAATCTAACTTTACTCACCAAAATACAAAGTCACAGCCCCTCAATCAATTCCCAAACTTGAGTCAGTTTACAGACCCACAACCATTTGAATGAAGGCTAGGTCCCCTTGAGGAAGGACCACACTACAATGCCAGAAATTTATACTGTCAATCTTTTTCCCAGTCTTTCCCAAGGAATCTACACCCTTTTACAAGAGTGACTGTTTATTGGAGAAAAGGAAACAATCAGACTTTTTGGATATTACTGGACACTGGCTCTGAACTGACACTAATTCCAAGAGACCCAAAACATCACTGTGGCCCACCAGCCAGAGTAGGGGCATATGAAGGTCAGGTTATTAATGGAGTCTTTGCTCAAGTCCATATCACAGCAGGTCCAGTGGGTCCCTGAACTCATCCTGCAGTGTTTCCCCAGTTCCAGATTTCATAATCCAAATAGATACACTCAGCGACTTGTAAAAACCCCACATTGGCTCCCTCACATGTGGATTAAGGGCTAATATGGTAGGAAAGGCCAAGTGGAAACCATTATAACTGCCCCTACCTAGGAAAATAATAAACCAAAAACAGTACCCTATTCCTGAAGGGATTTGGAGAGATTAGTGCCACAATCAAAGACTTAAAAGATGTAGGGGTGGTGACTCCCACCACATCCCCATTCAACTCACCTATTTGACTTGTATAGAAAACAGATGGATCTTTCAGAATGACAGTGAATTATCTATCATAAACTTAACCAAGTGGTGACTCCAATTGCAGGTGCTGTTTCAAATGTAGTTTCATTGCTTCAGCAAATTAATATATCTCTTGGTACCTGGCATGCAGATATTGAGCTGGCCAATGCCTTTTTCTCAATTCCTGTTTCTAAAGAACTTCAGAAGCAGTTTGCCTACAGCTAGTAAAGCTGGCAATACATCTTCACTGTCCTACCTCAGAGTTACATCAATTCTCCAGCCCTATGTCATAATTTAGTCTGTGGGAAGCCTGATTGCTTTTTCCTGCCACTAGATGTCACACTGATCCATTACATTGCTCTCTTTCTGTTGATTGGACCTAGTAAGGAATAAGTACCAATGACTCTAGAGTTATTGGTAAGGCAATTCCATGCTACAGGGTGGGAAACTAAAGTGTCAAAAATTTAGGTGCATTCCACCTCTGTGAAATTAGGGGTCCAGTGGTATGCAGCATGTTGAGATATTCCTTCTAAAGTGAAAGATAAGTTGTTGCATCTGGCACCTCCTACGACTAAAAAGGAGACACAACTCCTGGTTGGCCTCTTTGAATTTTGTAGGCAACACATTTCTCATTTGCATATAGCTACTCCAGCTTATTTATCAAGTAACTCGAAAAGCTGCTAGTTTTGAGTAGGGTCCAGAACAAGAGAAGGCTCTGCAACAGGTCCAGGCTGCCATGGAAGCTACTCTGCCACTTCAGCCATATGATTCAGCTGATTCAATGGTGCTTGAAGTGTCAGTGGCAGAGAGAAATGCTGTTTGGAGTCTTTGGCTGGCCTGTTTTGGTGAATCACAGCACAAACCCTTAGGATATTGGATCAAAGACCTACCATCCTCTGCAGATAACTACTCTTCTTTTAAGAAACAGCATTTGGCTTGTACTGGGCCTTAGTAGAGACTGAATGCTTAACCATGGGCCACAAAGTTGCCATGCGGCCTGAGCTCCCCATCATGAACTCAGTGTTGTCTAACTCACAAAATCATGAAGTTGGATATGCACAACAGCACTCCATCATTAAATGGAGGTAGTATACAAGAGATCAGTATCCAGCACTATCTGAAGGCAAAAGTGAGTTACATGAGAAAGTGGCCCAAATGCCCATGGTCCCCATTCCTGTCACATTACCTTCCCTCTTCCAGTATGACCTACTGCCTAATGGGGAGATCCTTACGATCAGTTCACTGAGGAAGAAAAAACTCATACCAGACTAAATTATGACATAGGGCTGGAGAATTGATGTAACTCTGAGTCTGTGCGATAATGCAGGCACCACTCAAATGTGGACAGCAGCAGCAATGCAGCCCCTTTCTAATACTTCCCTGAAGGAGAGCGGTGAAAGGAAATCCTCCCAATGAGCAGAACTTTGAGCAGCGCACCTGTTTGTTCATTTTGCTTGGAAGGAGAAATTGCCAGATGTGTGATTGTATACTGATTCATGGGCTGTGGACAACAGTTTGGCTGGATGGTCAAGGACTTGGAAGGAACATCATTGGAAAATTGGAGACAAGGAGGTATGGGGAAGAGGTATGTAGATAGACCTCTCTGAATAGGCAAAAGAAGTAAGATGTTTGTGTCTCATGTGAATGCTCACCAAAGGATGACCATGGCAGAGGAGGATTTTAACAATCAAGTAGGTAGTATGATGCTTTCTGTGGATAGCAGTCAGCCTCTGTCCTCAGCCACTCCTATCATTGCTCAATGGGCTCATGAAGAAAGTGGACATGGTGGCAGGGATGGAGATTATGCATGGACTCAGCAAGATGGGCTTCCACTCACCAAGGTGAACTTAGTTACAGCCTCTGCTGAGTGCCCAACCTGCCACCAGCAGAGACCAACACTGAGTCCCCAATATGGCACCATTCCTTGGGACAATCAGCCAACAATCTGGTGGCAAGTTAATGATATCGGACTGCTTCCAGTTTTGTTCTTACTGGGATAGAGACTCACTCTGGATACAGATTTGGCTTCCCTGCATTCAACGCCTCTGCCAAAACTACCATCCATGCCAGGGACAGATTACTCAATAAGCAAGGTACGCATGGGCTTACTTGTGTTTACTTACTAATCTGTAGTGCACAATTTCACCTGTTTCTCGCCCCATTGTGAAATAGCACACTACAGATTAGTAAGTAAACACAAGAAAGCCCATGTGGACCTTGCTTACCGTAAGCCTGTGCGTACCTTATTGGTTAATCTGCCTGATTCAAGGATTTACAGAATACCTTATCCACCGTCATGATATCTCACAAAGCATTGCCTCAGAACAAGGGACTCACTTCACAGCAAATTAAGTGCAGCAATACGCCCATGCTCTGAAATTCACTTATCTTACCATGTTCCCCAGCATCCTGAAGCAGCTGGCTGAATAGAATGATGAAATGGCCTTTTAGGGCTGGGGCAGCTCAAACAGCACTACAGCCCCCTTTTTCTATCTTGGTATACCCCTTCAAACCATCCAAGTTTTCTTGCTCTCTCTCTGGGGAAAGGAAGAACAAGGTTTGAAATTCAAGCTAGACTATAAAGATAGTGAAAGGATGATTCTGACTCCTCTCTTTAGCTTTGTAGCTGTGAAGGACCAGTGTTTTCTTTCAAGTCCATTAAGGAAGTCTGAAAGAAAAAAAGTCTTCCTAGCCTGGTAAAGACACAAATGGATGTCTTTAATTCCAGATTTTGAAATCTCAATATCAACCTTGACAATGCAGCACCTAAGTATAGTTGCTTCAGGAAAGGAGAGCTTCATAGTTGCTTCAGTCAGGCTGCGGCATCAAGGAACAATGCCTGCACTTCATGAATTTCCTGCCAAGAGCTCCCATCATTAATTAACCCCTGGATATAAGACCTCTGTTTTTTCACAGTGTAGAACAAATAATGTGGCTAGCAAGTGACTAGGGGAATAGGAAGGTATTTTGACACCACTGAGCATGCTCCTTCAGCATCATATTCTAGCCATATTTTTATTGCTCCTTTCACATTTGCTATCATAATGTATCTCAAAAAACAAACAAACAGTTGCCGTCGAGTCAATGCTGACTCATGGCAATCCCATGTGTTACAGAATAGAACTGCACTCCATAGAGTTTTCAAGGCTGTGACCTTTCAGAAGCAGATTGCCAGGCCCTTATTCCAAGGTGGCTCTGTGTAGGTTCGAACAGCCAGCCTTTTGGTTAGTAGTTGAATGCTTAATTGTTTGGGCCAGCCAGGTCACTATTCATAATGTACAAACTCTCCATAAGAAAAATAGTTTTATTTTCATATCTACACCTTTTGTTTCATTCCTTTCTCAAGTAAGTGAAAGTAGTAGATTACCCTTTTTTATCACACACACTCATAGTCATGCACATAGTCATAAAACTCTTGCCCAGATATGTGTGTGAGTATATGTATGTGAGTGTATAAACAATCCAGAGATATAAATAAATAATACCATGTATTATTTAGGGGGTATGCACCTCTATTGAAAGAAAGATAGACAGATATAGATAGATAGACAGATATATGATAGATAATATACAGACCACAAAATAACTGACACACACATCTGAAATTCTGCTAAAAACCAAACTTATTATAGCTATGACAGTATTCGTCTCATTGGGTAACAAGTCTTAAAAAATGAATTACATTTTAAAATAGTTTTTGAAAAAATACATATCCCCAATATTAACACTATCCTAGAGTTAGAAAAAACTGTAAATAAGATGAGAAAATTGAGGTACCAGGGGTAACATAAGGCCTTTTCATCTGGGAGACTTCTTTGAAATCAGGGTAGGATGGTCTAACAGATCTCCAGAAAAATAACTGCTTCACCGACCAAACTAGCAAGTTGAGACATTGAAATACTCAAATCAAAATAAGAACCAACCCTAATGATCAAACATTTATTTGAATTAACATCTTTCAGCAGGAGTGCATGAAGAAGGGAGAAGATTTAAGTCAAGGAATGGGAAGTTGGACCCACTGTTCCTTGCAAAATCTCTTGCACTCTTCAAACGTAATTGTAAGGAGCTTCCCAGTGAGAAGAGACTGAAGACCCCAACTCACTCCTCTTGAGTTGAAAAGAAGATCCTGGGCTTAGACTCAAGAAAAGCTCCCAAGGGAAGCTAGGAAGAATGTTTATCATTATGTTGCTTGCACACCACAGTGCTCAAAGCACCTGCCAGGAAATATCTAACCCATGCTCAAGAGTAACCTTCTGGAAGTAGAAAATTTATCCTCACAGGATAAATCAGAGGGTAGGTATTGTTCACTGCTATGCTTCCAGGATGTGGAAATACAGTGCAGAGCAGTGAAACTGCTTGATATCTGCCTCTCCATGGGAGTTCTCCATAGGCTCTTCAAAGGTGGTAGAAGGGAGTGAGCTGAGATGGTCACCTCCCATGGTAGTCATCAGCTAGAAAACTGCGGCTGGGGAAGATCTCCTATTGATGGAACAGACACATACAGTTTCTAAGGTTTCACCAATTATCTCTTCTAGCCCAAATGTTTTAAAGATCAATTGGCCAGTTGAAATTTGAACAAAGCCGGAAGGTTGTCTCAAGAGTCGTGATACAATTTAAGGTCCTCTGTAACTTAGATTTGTATTTTCAGCAATATTATTTTCTCTTGTTTCTGGTCACCCTGAAATTAGTTTTTACTTATAGTTTGTGAACTGTAAGAATTCCAGAACAGTTAAAAAGGCTACAACTTCATAAAAGCAAAATCTGATAAGCTAAACCAGAGTACAGTTCAGAGGTCAGCTGCAGGGATAGATGGGCATGGACAGTATCTGGGGGCCCACATGCTGACCAATGTCTCTGGTGAGTTGTCACCATAGTAAATTATTTTAAATAAGTTTTGTTGTTGTTTGTTTGTTTCAAATCAAGTCCATTAAGTGATACCCTAACCCAAATTCAAGCTTATAAAAGCCTTCTGCCCTCAGAGCTGATCTCTGTCTGTGAGGGAACATTCAGGGTGGAGGCCAGAAAACAATCCACCATGTGTCTTCAGGCTGACTCCGGTCCCTCAGCATCTTCTGCTTCTGTGATGGCTTCATTTGCTGATGTAACTGTTGTTACTGCCACTTCCAGCAGCTTCATCATGAGGGCACAATAAACTCTTCTTCACATTTTAGTGTCCCGGACAGGGGTGTCATCCTGTGAACAGAGGAAGAAAGAATGAATCAGGAAGAGGTTGGAGAAATCCTGACACTCAGCATATCTGCTTGGGGATGCTAGGTCAGGCAATTATAATAATAGTAATAATAGGTATTGCCCTGGTGGTGCAACAGTTAAGCGCTCAGCTGCCAACTGGCAGTTTGAACTCAGCCAGCAGCTCTGAGGAGAAAGACCTGGAGATCTGCTTCCATAAAGATTATAGCCAAGAAAATCCTATGGGGCAGTTCTACTCTGTCACATGGGATCACTATGCGTTGGAATTAACTCAACAGCACACAACAACAACAATAGTCATAGTGGTAATAATGCACACAATAGCAATATAGTTAGATACTTCTATTAACTCTGTTTTACAGATGATGCAATTAAGGCACAGAGTGGTAAGTGTATTCTCTTAGGTCACACAGCTAAGATGTGGTGGGGTCAGCATTTAAACAGAAAGGGATGAGCTAAACAAGTGCTAGATGTCTGGGGTCTTAAAAGCTTGCAAGTGGCCATCTAAGATACAGCTATTGGTCTCTACTCGTGCAGAGCTAAAGAGAAAGAAGGAAACCAAAGACTCATGGAAGAAACTAGTCTACAGAACCAATAGTCTACACGAACAATGACATCACCTACCTTGAGACCAGAAGAACTAGAACTAGATGGTGCCTGACTACCACTGCTGACTGCTCTGACTGGCGACCCAAAAGATGGTCCCAGATAGAATGGAAGAAAAATGTAGAACAAAATTCAAATTCCTAAAAAAAGACCAGACTTACTGGACCAGTAGAGACTAGGTGAACCCCCAAGACTATCACCCTGAGATACTCTTTAAACTTGGAACTCAAACCACTCCCAGAGGTCACCTTTCGGCCAAATGACAGATTGGACCATAAAATAAATAATGCCACCCGTGAGTACTGTGCACCTCAAAATAATAGTCAACACTTACCCTAGACCAAAGATGAGAAGACTAGGGGGGACAGGGAAGCTAGATTAATGGAAACAGACAACCAAAATGGAAATAACAAAAATGCTGATATATTGTGAAAAATGTAACCAGTGCCACTGAATAATATGTATAGAAATTGTTAAATGAGAACCTAATTTCCTGTGAAAACTTTCACCAAAAACACAATAAAATATTTTTTTAAAAAGATGTGCTAGAACTATAGGAGAATAAATGAATGGGAACATCTAATCTAACTCCTAACTTAAAAATGCACACACACACTTCCCAAAAATATATTATAAAAACGTCCAGAAAATGGCAGTAGGGATGGAAGCTAAGCACAGGAGACAAGAGAGCTTATCTTATCAAGGAGAACGGCTATTTTCTCTGATTCACGGTAAAAGCAGACATTGGAGGACTGGGTGGTTTTCCTTTTAGCCAAGTAGGAGGCAAGGTCAGAGAGTGAGAGGATGAGACAGGACTGGGAGTTTGAGGAATGTAGGGTGAAAACTGAGGATATTAGAGATGCAGGGAGAGCATTTCCAGGTAGCAGTGAGGCGTGGAGATAGACCATTTGGGTTGGTAATAGTTTCTAATAGACCTAGACAGCTTGGTTCTGTGAATTCCAGCAATGATACCCACAAGTCTTGGCAAAGACAGTGGGTGTGAAAGTGACTTACTTTGGGGATTACTATGGAGAGAGAACAGGTCAAGCAAGAGGGAGATTAAGACGCAGAAAGACAGCACTTAAGCGGCTGGCAGTCATAGATGAGGTCTGGGTGGGGCAGGGAGACAGGTGACCCCAGGAGCACAATGAAGGACAAGTTCAGAGGCTAAGGGAGGGACTGAGGTGGAAATGCAGGATAGTGTGGCCTCAAGAGAATTGAGAAGGGATAAGGACCAAGAACTGAGTCTTGGGGACCTGCCCAGTTAACTGAGAGGGAGAAGAAAGAGGAGGGACCAAGGTAAACACTTTGATAGTTACAAAAGCAAGGGGAGTCTCGAAAGAAGGTTGTGCTTATCAGCTGCGGGAGAAAAGAATTTCAAATCAAATGTCAAGAAATCAAGAATGACTTGGAAAAGCAATTGAATTGGGCAATTAGGAAGTCAGCACTTACTGTAAGTACAACAAAGTCTTAGATGTAATGTCAAAACATTTCAAATATCTTTGTTTGGATAAGTTTGTCTTTGGCAAACCTGAGAGCCCAACACAGTGCTGGATACATAATGAGTGTTTGAGAAACACTTGCTAAATTTACTTAAAGTATTAGAGTTGGATCTCATTCAATGCCTTCTTTCCAGGGCTGCTTTATCTATAAAGAAAATCCTAGGTGCTGTGATTTGGTACGTCCAGCCTGCCCTATGATGGAAATTTCCAAGATGGCTCATTCTTTAAGCATACAATGTTAAAATGCTTGCAATGGGCAACATAATAGGTAGTTAACCCTTTACAGTATTTTCACTGATGCCTTTGGTCTATTTATGAAACCTGCTCCTGCTTTCTCTTGAAAAATGAATTGCTCCATCCTTTGCGCTTCACATAGTATGCCGTGGTTGTTCCCAGGAAGAATCACATTTATTCTACTCTCTTATGTTTGTTGGTTTGTACCTCTGTCTTTTCCACCTTTGAACCCCAAGTATCTCTCATAGTGCTTGGGATAACTAGTGCTTGGTTAATGGTGATTGCATGAATAAAACCATAATTAGTTTATCTGATCAATCTATTTCTACCAATCAAGGGACAAGATGGAGATTAATTCGTGGACTAGAAAGCTGCTGTCTTAGTGAAGTGTGCTACCTCTGCCAGATGCAGGGAAAGACCTAGAACAGACATTGGGGTTCCTAGGGATGCCAATGATCAAAGAGGCCTACTTCACAGCTGTTCTCACTGGTGAATCCTTTTGCACAAGTGCCTGAGGCATTTTGGGTCTAACCAGAATGGTTCTAACCTTGGACAGATGACAGAGACAGTGGAGGATTGGAAGTAATGTCCCTTTCAGATGAAATATGTTTTGCAGATGTGTAGAGGTGCTTTATAACCAGCTTTTTATGATGAATAGAGCAGGTACCCAACATGTCAATATGGACTGAACTCTGTGACCTTGTGCAACTCCTGTCCTCTCCTGGAACCTCAGTTTCTTCCTCTCTAAAACCAGGAGATTCGGCTAAATGATGTCAAAGTTTTGCATCTCAGTGATGGATAAGGAGAGGAAAAATTGAAGGGGTGGTAAATGCAGCTTTTCTTTATTCACCTGCTTGTCTGGGGGGAGAGTGATCCTGAGGGTGCTGGGCAGTCTCTTTCCCTTGCCAGGGCTCGGTCAGGAATATATAGAAGTGGTAAGGTTTGAGAGATTATCAGTAAGCTGCCCTAAAGCTCCTGGAGTTTCTGCAGGAAGCCCTCTTCCACTTGAGACCTTCCTGAACCAGCTCCGTTCCCTGCTAGCTTCTCAACCAAAGTGACAGCCCTTCAAGACCAGAAGATGTTGCCAAAGAGATGGGATGGTCTTACAGCAAGGTAGGTGCCTCCTATCCTGAAAATAAGGTGTCAGAACCACTGGCAGGTTACTACTTGGACTCAGTTACTTTATCTTTAAAATGGAATGAGGATCTGTGGCATGTATCTGCCTTTTAGAGACTCTTTGGAGATCTCTGGGCTAAAGGGACTAGACTGCTCATTTAGAACAGATGGTGTTAAAGAGATCTAAAGCATATTTGCCTAACATCTCAACCAGAGGGGTCTCAGTTATAAGTCATGGGTCTTTGGGACTCACACTTTCTTCTCTCCAATTTAATCTGACTGGAAATAACACAAGGGCCCCTGAGCAGCCCCCCACAAACACACCAACCCCACTTACACCTGTAGTTGTACCATTAGAGATTACTTTTTGGGGTCAACTGATATTGTCTCTTCTTTTAAAATGCATTCATTCACCCAATAAATTTTTTTAAGGACCTACTATGTGCCAAGTATTAATTATAGTAAGTACTGGGGATACAGTGGTTAAAAAAAGAGTAGAGAGATACAATAAAAAAAATAAAAAAAAAAAAACAAGAGAATTTCAAACAGCACTAAGTGCCATCCATGAGAACAAAATGGAAGAAAGTCACTGAGGGGGGTAGTTCCCTTTAGATAGAGTGGTCAAGACAGGCCCAAGTGAGGAGAAGTGATCTGAGCTGAGATCTGGACCATGGATAGGAAGTGGCCATGTAAGGATCAGAAGGAAGAGTGTTCCAGGCAGAGGGGAGAGCAAGGGTAGAGCTGTGGGGTGGAAATGAGCTTGGTGTATTTGAAGAACAGAAAAAATGTCTGTGTAGCTGGAGCACAGCAATGGGGAGACTCAGGGAGAGGCGGGCAAGGGCCCACCCTGCAGGGCCTCACAGCCATGGTCAAGGGTTTGGATTTTATTCTGAGTACAATGTGAGGCCATGGGGCAAGGGGGTGGGGAAGTTTCATAGGTTAAATTGTATTCCCCAAAAAGATATCCAAGTCTTAACCCCGAGTACCTGGGAATGTGACCTTGTTTGGAAATAGGATCTTTGCAGATGTAATTAAGTTAAGGATCTTGAGATCAGCCTGGATTAGGGTGGTTCCTAAATCCAATGACTGGTCTCTTTATAAGAGAAAGAAGTGGGCAATTTGAGACACACAGACACAGGGAAGGCCATGTGAATATGGAGGCAGAGATTGGAGTCATACACCTACAAGCCAAGAAACATCAAGGATTACTGACAACAACTAGAAGCTGGATTACAATCTGGTGGTTGCTGGCAGCCACCAGAAACCAGGAGAGAGGCATGGAGCGGATTCTCCCTCAGAGCCTCCAAAGGCAACCAACCCTGTTGACATTTTTATTTTAGATTTCAGACTTCCAAAACTGTGAGAAAATAAATATCTGTTGTTTCAAGCCACCAAGTTTGCGGTAATGGCAGGACTGGGAAACTAAGACAGGAGGTGAGTAATTTTAGCAAAGAGTAGATCTAAAAAACCAAACAACCCTCTGGCTGTTGTACAGAGAACAGAGTGTAGAGAGGAAGCCAGATGCCATGAGAGGCTAATGTTTAGGCTTAGGGGAAGCTGATGGGGGCTTGAGCGAATAAATGAATGCACTAACAAAAAGGGAAGGGACAAACACTTGAGGTTGACTGAGGTGATGAGATTGTGGAGAGAGGAGACACTAAGCTTTTCTTTTGGAACTTCTAAGTCTCCCCAGTCTGGTTCTTCTAAAGCACAGATGCGTGGGCTCAAGGTGGGCTTCCTGGGAACTGGTAGGGAGGAAACAGGTTAAGGAGGAAGGTCCAACAAGCATGGGCCCAGACAGGAGGGCAGGGACTGAGTTATCTCTCTCTTCCTCCTGTACAACAGGTGCTCAATACTTGTAAGAGAATGGATGTAACATAAATCCTCCTTCTTTAAAGGCCCGACTCAAACACCACTTTCACCCTGAAGCTTCTCCAACTTCTTTCTCCCACCCTCCACACACAAATTGTTTCTCTCTTGACCTTGTGCTTTGCCTTTCCTTAGGACTACCACCTGCCTGCCCGCTTGCCTGCCCATTGCGGAGCCCTGGTGGCACAGTGGTTGAATGCAGGTCTGCTAACCAAAAGGTTGGCCACTGGAACCCACCCAGCAGCTCTATGGGAGAAAAGACCTGGCAATCTGCTCCTGTAAAGATTTCAGCCTAGGAAACCCTTTGGGGCAGTTCTACTCTGCCCTATAGGATTGCTATGCGTTGATCCCTAAGAGTCAGTCTGCTAGAGGCCAGTGGGTGTTCAATGGTAGAATTCTCGCCCTCCATGCGGGAGACCAGGTACAATTGCTGGCCAATGCACCTAAAGCACAGCCATCATCCATTTGTCAGTGGAGGCTTGTGTGCTGCCATGATGCTGAACAGGTTTCAGGGGAGAAGACAGACAGACTAAGACAAATGGGTATGTGATCTACTTCTGAAAATCAGCCAGTAAAATCCACTAGGTCACAATGGTCTGATCCCCTTGTGCATGGGGTCCCCATGAGTCAACAGCAGCTAACAACAGCACGGAGCTGAGCTGCCGGACTCACATACTAGGTTGTGAGCCTGGTTGGCAAAGGAGCAGCCCCTTCCTCTCTGAACACCCTACAGCAGGAGCCCAGGACCCTGCACTTAGTAGGCCTTCAGTAGTGCTTGCTGACCTGAGTTACTGAGTTGTGCCAAGTCTCGGTCATTCTGTACACACTCAGGAGCTCACCAGAACTATGAGTCAGGAAGAAGCTGGAGAGACCATAAAACACAACTTCTCTTTTTTGTCCGCTTGCCCCCTCACAGGTCAGAAACAGCCTGTCCCAACCCAATGTGGCACAAGGTGGAAGCCTGGCACCTTTGTTACCACACACTGAGCTGATTTATGACAGGACTGTAAGGAACAGGGCATGTGACAGAGAAGGCAGAGAAGGCTGGTTTCCAGGCTGGACCCGACACTGCCATCCCAGGGTGAACAAGTCGGGCCGCTTACCTCTCCCTCGAGTATTGCTCCCCTGCTCAGGGCCTCGCCACTGGTCTCCAACTGGGTAGGGCCAGTCTCAGGGTGGCACTTTGTCTCAAGAACGCCACTCCCCTCCTCTCTCTTTTCCTCATCTTTTTCCTGCTCTGAGGCGTTGCCACCCTCCATTTCTCCAGAGGGTTTTGGGGGGTGCTCCTCCCCAGTGGCTCTCTCCTCCTGCTTCTTTGTGTCTTGGCTCGTTTGCTCAGACTTATCCTCTTCATTTCCTGCCTTCTCCTCCTTCACTTCTGTAGATTCTTCCGTCTCCACTTCCTCTCCAGCCGTGATTTCCTCTGTGGGGCTCCCACACCCATTCTCTGCCTTTGGGCTGGAGGCTCGGGGTGGTTCTGTGGCCTCCTCCTGGGCTGTGCTCTGGCGCTCCTCCTCTACTGAATGCACTGCAGCCTTCTCCCATTGCTTGGTGTCCTCTGCAGACCCGCCCTTCTCCTCACGCTTCTCTGTCCAGCTGGATGTCCTCCTCAGAGGAGGCTTTTGGTCCAACTCCAGGCTTCTCCTCACTTCCTTTCCCACTGCGCTGTCACTGGATGGAGGGGGTCCTGGGGCCTTGCTCTTGGATGTGAATACCTCATCCCCATTCTCTTCCTTGGCTCCATTCTCCTGAGATGACTCTGCAGCCCTGAAGTTTCCAAGGTCCCCACAATCAGACTGAGACCTTCGGAATTGCCTGGAGGGAGGGCGCCTTTTTATTGAGCCCCGTGTCCGCACCTGGAAGAAAGTATTAAGAAAAATTATCCAAAGCCTATAAAAAAGGCCAGGAGGAGAACCACCTGTCCTTTCCATGCCAACCTAAAGCACTGTTCAATGAGCCCACCCAAGGATTACTTAATTTTCTAGGTAAATCTACCATTGTCTGCTATTTACTGTAAGTGAGAGCCCTGTGAAATTACATGTCAGCTTGCAGATTTTTTTCTCCTGAAGATGCAAATGCTTTCCATCCAGTCAAAAAAGACAACTATGGTTTTGTTTTCCTGTAAAACATTAGCCAGTTTTATGTCTCACTCAGCAATTTTATTCTAAGATTTGTTCTGTTAAATTGCCTAAATAACCTCTTCTTTGAAGGTTCTTTAAATCAGCTTTACCTTCTTACAGGTTTCCTCATAAATCGACAAGACGAATAAAATCTATTTGTATTTTGTATGAAAGTCATGGTTTTTAACTTTTTGAAAATTGTAGTTTGAAAAAAGTGAATTGAACAGAGAAGAGGGTTAGAGTTCCACTGATGGTTGGCCCTGGTACAAGGTCCTCCTGGGTGCTGAGCTGGACAGCTGGTGAACAGCTTCCTCCCTTTCTCTGACTCTGCCCTCTCAGCCCCCCATGAAGCTGGCTGATGCTGGGAGAGTCAAGCAGCCAGGGGCCTTTGCTTTGCAGAAGGCAGGTCCACCATTGTTAGAAGCTGTACCTGAGGAGCACCCAGCAGAGCTGCCAGAAATGATCTCCGCTCTGGAAGTGTGTGAATCTCAGAGTCAGGCCTCATCTTGGCCCACCAGACTTTGTCAGAAGGGCAATGGAAATGTTCAGATAGATGCCCTACTTTACCCAAGTGATGTGTCTTTCAAATTTTATATGTAAATTACATTTTGTAAATCTGGTTTTCCCACTGCTTTACATTTTGCTGTTTGTCAGTCCGAGCTCCAACTCAGAGGTCTAGAGTGAATACTTGGTTTATAAGGCTTCCACAGAGCGGCCAGCCCTGCAGCGTAGCAGGGCCCTCATGGCCAGCAGGTTTAGAAATAATCTTGCCAGCTCCCTTGCTGCCTGGTTGAAGCTCCCTGATACTAGAACCAAGTAGCAGCACCTCCACTTCCCTGCCTGTACTCCCTACTGAGAAGACAAGGCTGTCCATTTGGTTTCTGTCTGCCTTCAGGAGTCACTCCATCACCCTGTGCCCTGCCTCCCGACCCCAGCAGACTTGAGTCTGCTCCACCACCTCCCTACCACCAGGCTTGTTTCCTTGGGCCCTGCTTGTTTCTATTCACCTGACCTTTTATTCTAGATAGATTTCCTTCATTGCCTAGAAGATCCCACTCTCTCCATCCTTAATTCCGACATCACACCCATTTACCCTTCCCTGGGATCAGATTGCCTTGAAGCCTGGCCCCTGCCTGGCTCAGGCCCAGATTTGCTGGGTCCCTGCTTGGACTGTACTAGACTGATGCGAACCTCCTCGTGGTAGGGCCCAGGGTCTGATGAGAGCATACACCAAGCATTAGGGCAGCATCTACAGAAACCAGCTCTGTCAATTACCTTTTTGCAAAGGGAACAGTTCTTAATTTTGAATATTCTTAAACTGGGGCAAGCTGCGGTAAGAATGATTTGAGTTGGTACTGGAACACTTAGGATTATTCACATCAGCCCAGAGCAAGAGGTTTTGGAGCCCTACTGACCTCTGTCAGGACTTTAGCTTTCAGGACTTTAGCTTTTGCCTTCAGTTTTTTTAAATATAATTCATTTATTTTTGCTGTTGTTGTTGAGAATATACACAACAAAACATACACCAATTCAACCATTTCTACATGTACAATTTAGTGACATTGATTACATTCTTAGAGTTGTGAAACCCTTCTCACCCTCCTTTTCTGAGTTGTTCTTCCCTAATTAACATAACCTCACTACCCCCTAAGGTTCCCATCTATTCTTTCAAGTTGCTGTTGTCAGTTTGATCCTATATAGATAGATCTTAAAAGAGCATACAGCTAAAGGCAAACATTCTTTACTAGTTAAGCTATTGTTTGGTTTTAAGAAGACTTCAGGGGGTATTTTTGGTTTAAGGTTTACAGATTATCTTGGTGCAATAGTTTTGGGAATTCATTGAGCCACCATGGCTCCAGAAAATATGGATTCCATGAAAATCTGAAATTCTGTTCTGCATTTTCCCCCTTTTGACCAGGATTCTTCTATAGAATCTTTGATCAAAATGTTCAGTAATGGTAGTCAGGCATCATTCAGTTTTTCTGGTCTCATGGCAAAGAAGGCAGCTGTTCATGGAGGCAATTACCCACACGTTCCACATCCTCCTCATATCCCTGACTCTCCTTCTTCCTCTGTTGCTCCAGGTGAATATAGAGCAATTGTTGTGCCTTGGATAACTGCTTGCCTTCAGTTTTTGACATAACTCTGTACAGCTGGGATCATCCTGAGTCCCCACCCCATTCTCCACAAAGGATAGAGTACTCCATCCCCTAACCCTGCATTTCAGGTGGATGGTGCAATTATAGGGAGATGAAATGAGAGAGGCAGGCTAGGTAGAGAAGTGTCTTAGTTCAGGGAAAGCTTGCAAAGGAGCAGAGAAATTTCATCTCTGTTTAAAAACCAGCTCTGACTACAGCTCCAAATGTCTCCTCCTTTCTCCAGAACAGCAACGGGGTGGGGAAATAATGGGATCGTCCTGTTCCCATATTTCCGCAGGCATACCACAATACTTTTGACTCAGACTTTACCTTATTGTAACAGGGCAGATGACTACCTTCAGGAGGCTGGTCAAAGCTGACGGGCACCTCCTCTGGCTCGCTGGACCGAGACCACACACTGGGGCTACTGGGAGTGGAAGGTGGGCTGTGAAATGGTGACACCACGGCTTTGAGTCCGGGACTCTTGGGCGAGGCCCCAGGCAGCAGGGCCACTGGATCAAAGGCTAAATTGGCCTGTTGAGAAAAGATTAGGAATTTCAAGTGGTTGGAGAGATGATGAGAGCTTCTATTTTAGCTTGCTAGTTACTTGGCCTCAGAACTGTTGAGACCAGGTAACATAAGGATTTTGGTGTTATTTCCCAACCAGTTATTCATTGTCTCATCACATCCTCTTCCTGGAAGCACTGCCTACTCAATCCATCTCCTGCTACCTGGTTTGTAGCAAGCTGCATTCCAGAATGCCCAGACAGCCCCACGGAGGATCCCTCAAGAATGCCCTGGCAAGAGCCTTGAGTTATGGACAAAGTGGTCATAACAGCAACCAGCAGGCAGCTGTAGGTACCAGGATCTCACAGTGTGCCATCTTTCTCAGACAGAGTCACTAATAGTTGCTGCTTACTGGATGCACTATTTGCTGGGCACATGCAATTTTTCCTCTACAGCAAACCTGCATGTTCAGCATTGTTCTCACTGCACAAATTAGGAAAGTGGCTAAGGAATCTGCTCTGAGACTCAAGCCAGAACCATTGTCCCTCAGGCCTCAAGGTACGAGGTTCTCTCTTGGTAGCTGGCTAGAGTGATGGACACAATAGGCTGCTGAGCTATTCCAAGAAGGAGGCACCAGAACAAATCACAGTGTGTGCTACCACTCGGGGTGTCTAAGGGCAACCAAAGGGGAGAGGTTACCCAAAGGTAACCAAAGCCAAAGGGAGTTATGAGTTTGGTGGGGAAGGAGGTAAGTGGTCCCAGACCCACCCTATTACCATGGAGAAGGCGGCGGTGCAGGAAGGCAATCTTTGGGGGGATTATACATGAGAGTCCCAGAGCCTCTATAGCACCATCTAGGGGTACTGCTCCTCCTCTGGTCCTCTGCATTTTCAAGCCACTGTACAGCTTGAGGAGCCCTGGTGGCACAGTGGTTAAGAGCTGCAGCTGCTAACCAAAAGGTCAGCAGTTCAAATCCACCCGCTGCTCCTTGGAAACTCCATGGGGCAGTTCTACTCTGTCCAACAGGGTTGCTATGAGTCAGAATCGACTTCACGCCAAGGGGTTTGGTTTGGTTTTTTTTTGGTACAGCTTGAAGAGTCCTTGAGTGGTGCAAAGGGTTAATGTGCTTGGCTGCTAACCTAAAGGTTAGTGGTTTGAGTCCATCCAGAGGTGCCTCGGAAGACAGGCCTGGTGATCTGCTTCTGAAAAATCAGCCACTGAAAACCCTATGAAGCACAGTTCTACTCTGACATACATGGGTCACCATGAGTCAGAGTTGCCTCAACAGCAACTGTTGGTTGGTTGGTTGTAATCTTGATCCTCCAGACCGTGTGGTACTGCTAGACCTGGAGAGAGGCAATATAAGCCTCACAAAGAAGGGACAGAGCTTGAGGGGCAGATGGTGCAATGAAAGGTTGGTTTGTGAGCCCACCACATCAACAGACTTTTGACTCCAAATCTTTCACGTAATAGCTGTGTGGCCTTCAAGTGACTCCAATAGCCTTGTCTAAACTTCTTAGCCTGATGTCCAAATTGTTTTACAACCTGGCCCGTTTACCCTCTCCTGCCACTAACCTGACTCATATCATCTCCTTCCAGACTCCCCCTGGCACCATCTTCCTACCAGCCGAGGAATTCTATTGTCTGAAGAATTCCTATCTGTTCTTTAGGCCATGCAAACCATAAAGCATTATATATGCTTAGGGAGGCATTAGTAATATATTGTTATTTTAAGAAAAATTTGTAATATAGTTGTGGAGACTCGACAAAGTCATAGTAAAAATTAAAAACATAAAAGTTAAACAGCAACATTGTGAACCCAAGCCATGTCAAAAAGCAGCATATGGTTGAGATCAAATTGACAACAGCAACTCAAAAGGTTAGATAGGAAACTTAGGGGCCAGTGAATTTATGTTAATGGGGGAGGAACAATTCAGAAAAGGAAGGTGAGAATGGTTGCACAACTTAAAGAATGTAATCAACGTCATTGAATTGTACATGTAGAAATTGTTGAATTGGTGTATGTTCTGCTGTGTATCTTTCCAACAACTACAAAAAATAAAACAAATTATTTAAGAAAACAAAAGAGCATATGGTGAGTACAAGGGGAAGGGTTTGGACCATGAATGCTTTGGGAGCTGACATGCTGGGATGGCTCAGAGTGCTTCCTGAAAGAGGGGGCTTTAACTCCAAATTTCAGTTCTCCAAACTGGGAAATTCCCTCTGCAAGAACGCTTGCAAATAAAATGAAACTTGCTAGCCAGCAGAAAACTGGAACTTTATATAATGAACTACTTTAGAGAAGAAAATACTGATAGTTCATAACTCATCCAGTAGAATATTTAAAAAGAAAAATCTAGCTGATGATGCATTTCTTAGTTCTTTTTACCCCAGATAAGTTTGCTATGGGATTTGGCCAAATTGTCATACTATTGTTGACATTCTTAATAAGCTTAAACAATTAGAGATCAAAACTTCATTCTCAAGCTGCTGTGTCCCTTAAAGAGGCTCATTAATGACTGGAAGAGGGGATGAGACAGACTGCAGAGCACGGACCACATGGAAACTAATTTATGGCACATGATGAGGGCTTTGGTGGGCTGCAGGGAGGCAGAGGTAGGGTTCCTGGCCTGCTTCCCTCAGTGGGCTGTAGGAGGGACGCTGGGGTTCCAGGATCCCTTCTGAGATCTCTGTTATATACATGACATGAATGCAGCCTCCTTGAGTGACGGGCAGCTCTCCTCCCTCCCTGCAGCTGGGTGGAATCAAGGTTTCTCAGTATAAATTAAGCTTCAGGGGAGACACTGCAGAGTCCTCCCCACCTCTCCACAGGGTACGCTTATGGCCAGAAACCACAGATGCTTTCTCCCCCCAAACCAGGCTGGGAACCAAATCTCTGGACTCTCCCACGGTGAGAACCGCAGAAGCTGTGGCCATTTGTCTTGACACCTCCCCGCACCCTCCTGACAGCTAAAGAATGAAGCTGATGATCCAGTTCTCTTAGTTGGGCCTGAGCACCTGCTCCTTTTCCCAGGTGGCAGCTGCATAGAGGCATCAGGGAAAGCAGGAGCCTCTCCTCCAGGCCCTACCTGGACATAGCAAACCTGCACCTCCTCTGCGGTTCAACTTACACCATTTCCCACACCAGGTGTACCTTCTTCCCTCTTTTCCAGCGATCCATCCTTTAAGGACCAACTCAGGGTGCAGATGCTTCATGAAGCATTCATGAATTACTCCTACTAACTCTACTCTCTGCTTGCCCTCAAATTCTAGAGTGTGGTTCTCAACTGGGGGCAATTTTGGCATTTGGGGACATTTGGCAATGTCTGGAGACATTTTTGGTTGTCACAACTTGGAGGGATGCATGGTATCTAGATGCTGCTAAACACCTTACAATGCACAGGACTGTCCCCCACGGGGAATTATCCAGCCCAAAATGTCAATAGTGCTAAGGCTGAAAGTCTTGGTCTATGGTAGTCATACACAATTTAGATCTCTTGTATTTACCTTCTTTTACTGCATCAGGTGTGAATATCTTTCACCCCCAGGAGACTGCAAGCTCAGGAGCAGCATCTTACCCTTCATTTGCACTCCCAGGAAAGCCAGCCCAGCAGTGTGCACAGTGGGCAAGGGCTCTGGGCACACAAGGTGATTGGAGGAGAAGTAGGGCAGAATGTTTTCCAAACAATGAATGTGGCCCTACCAGGGCAGTGTGTATGTAGCAGCTGAATTTCAGCCTGTGTAAGGGAATGGTTTGTGGCTGCATTCAGGCTGTGGGAGAGAGGACTTGGTTCTTCCTTGGCAGTTTCTTGCAACTATAATGTCCTTTTCCTGTAAGATTCTTCAGGCATCCTGCTATCCATCAACTACCAACCATTATTAGGTGTTAACTACATGAAATCATGTTTGATATGGTCTTTGTCTTAGTCCTTTGCCAACAGGTAGAGGGCTGTGAGATCCTTATCCTTTGGAACCATTTGGTCACTAGGTGGTTATCAGAAGGCAACTATCCAGGTGGCAAAGATGGGGCTACCCCTAAGACCCCAAAGACATTCAAATGTTGGAGAAGAGGTAGTAGTGGGTAACGAAAATTCTACACTTACCTGAAGCTTCTCAATCAGGGGTGAGCTCTTCACCTTGATCTTAGGAGGGTGGCTTGCATTGGGTGGTGATTTCTACAGAGCAAATAGACCAAAATAACCCAATGAGTGAGGAGGACAGAGATGGGGTTCTGACGGGCTCAGAGGCCACAGGGGGAAGGAGAAGAGAAGAAGATGGTTTCACCACTTCATCACTTAGTTCCTGTAGACCACTTACCTCATCATGGCATGTGCTCCTCTTTTCTCCCTCCCTCTTCTCACCACTAGCAAGAAAGAGCACTTGAATATATAAGTCTGAGAAGTCAGGATAGCCGCCCATAACCGAGGAGGACTTCCATCCCAGGAAGAATGACTTCATGGTTATTATGAGGGAACAGATTCTGTATGAGGGGAGCAAGATCTTGACTTCATGACCATCAACAATGTGAACCAACAATATGAGGGAATTTCAAAGATAAAGGGCAAAATGGCCATTTGTTCTGTTTGTCACAAGAAAAAACAAGAAACCACAGGACAGAAGGGAAACTTGACAGAGATATTATTGAAATTTCCCCCAAAACTAATGACATTTTAGAAAATCCCAACAATGGAGTTGCTTATAAATTATTTTCCAAAACATTAAATATTCATCTTAACTAAGCAGATGTTGATTGAGGATCTACTACATTCCAGCATTGCACTGGCTATATATAGATATGATTTAGTTTCTGCCCACTAATAGCAATCAATGGCTGGCATATACAGATACATATATATATTTATATGTCTATATATCTACGTGTATATCATTATATAAACCATACGTATGCTATATTTAAAAACAAAAACCCATTGCTGTTGAGTCATTTCCAACTCATAGCAACCCTACAGGACAGAGTAGAACTGCCCCATAGGGTTTCCAAGGAGCAGCTGGTGGATTTGAACTGCCAACCTTTTAGTTAGCAGTCAAGCTCTTAACCGCTGCACCACCAGGGGTCCATATGCTGTATTAGTTGTAGATATTTTCGTGCTAATGTATCTCAGGGATCCTGTGTGTCTTTGGATTTTAAACTACCTAAAAAATATTAACTCCTTCTTGTGTTGTGTAAAATCCCTACAACTTGAGTCCAGCTCCACGTATATACTGATCCTCAGCATGTAAGAATGATGAGAGTGATGGTCGTGATGAAGACGAAGACAAAGAAGATCCGTGATGACTCTCATTGTTGGATAGAGGCCAAGACAGAGGTGGGCTTTTTCTATAGTTTACAGATGCAAAGTATAGTACTCCCTCCCCAACACCTCCACATACTAATCTATCTGTATCATAAGAAGAAAAATGTTACTCTGTTAGAAACATTCTGAGATATTTATTGAATGAGACAACTGAATTTTAGTGATGGAAGGAGGGAGACTTACTCAACTCAGCTCCTTGTGACCTTTTTAGGGCCCAATGCTGGGCGAGAGCATGCTGGAGTGGGATGGTCACTGGCTGGGATTCTGGAGACCCCGTTCTACTTCTGACTTTGACAGAGGCCAGATGGATGTCCCTGGCCTCAGCCTCCTCCACCTCCTCAAGCCTAACACAGGAGGGCTGGAGTAAATGATTCCTGAGGACTCTTCCAGCTCTACAGCCCCTCTGTAGGCCATATTCCTAGAGCAGTCTTTCAAGTAGCCTTTTGCCCACAGTAAGTGGTGGGTAAAAAGAGCCTCCAGGACAAGCTGGATTATCCTTGATTTCTATGCTTTACAGTATAATTTCACATGGGCCAGTGCTTTGGAAGATACTGTTTTAGAAACTGTAGCAACAATTTTGCTGGTAAAGCTTGCTTTATATAATTCTATAAGCTCTCCTTGTCCCCAACTGACCTCTGTCCTCTGAAGACAGAGGACATTCAGTAAATACTGTCCCTTAACCCCAGGACAGTGCTGGGGACCCACATGAAGCTCCATAAGACCCTTGTTGATCTGAGTTAAACTTCAAAGCAGGAAAAAATCCAAAATAGACACTAATGCCAACTCCTGGGAAGGGCAGCAGGTGGCAGCATGTCCTTTAATGTTTAACTAGTGGCAGGCTCTGTGGCTACTTTAAACACCATTTTGGTTGAGTTCCCCCAGGGAGGGAAACTCCCCGGTCACCCAGGGGGGCTGACCTCACCCTCTCAGGCCCAAGCAGGCACGGGGAGAGGGCAGGGATGAAGAAGGGGTGGGAAGCCCCTTCCCAGATCTATGCATTAGGAACAAAGGGGGCAGCCTGAGTAGGGTCCTCCCTTCAGGCCCCCCATGGTTTATGGCACAAGGGCTCCTGTAGGCTGGGTTACGGAAGGGTAAAAGGAGAAGTGTGGGCCAGGCCTGACAGAGCTGGCTATTCTTTTCTTTTTTTTAATTGTGCTTTAGGTGAAAGTTTACAGTTCAAGTCACCTTCTCATTAAAAAATTTATACATATATTGTTTTGTGACATTGGTTGCAATCCCCACAATGTGACAGCACTCTCCCCTTTTCCACCCCAGATTCTCCATGTCCATCTGTCCAGTTTTCCTGTCCCTTCCTGCCTTCTTGGCTTTGCTTTTGGGCAGGAGTTGCCCATCTGGTCTCGTATTTTTGATTGAATTAAGAAGCACGTTCCTCATCTGTGTTGTTTGTTTTATAGGCCTGTCTAATTTTTGTCTGGAAAGTGGGCTTTGGGAGCGCTTTCAGTTCTGAGTTAGCAGAGTGTCCAGTGACCATAGTCTCGAGGGTTCCTCCGATCTCTGTCAGACCAGTAAGTCTGGTCTTTTTTCATGAATTTGAATTTTGTTCTACATTTTTCTCCCGCACTGTCTGGAACTCTGTTGTGATCCTTGTTAGAGTGGTCAGTTGTGGTAGCCAAAAGCCATCTAGCTGGCCATTCATTTTACTTCTATGTGTATTTCAAGGCCGTGAGACGTCAGGGACCCCCAGAGGCAGTGTCCTTCAAGGTACAAGCAACCTGTCACTCCAGGCAGGACTTCACTCCAGAATCCACCTTCCTATTCATCCATCCCTGGCCACTAGATGCTTTAAACTACTGGGTGGGTCCCATGAGATGAAACCTGTACATTTATTGCCCCTAGAGTCACTGAAAACCAAAACCAAACCAAATCCGTTGTCGTCGAGTTAATTCTGACTCATAGCAATCCTATAGAACAGAGCAGAACTGCCCCACAGGGTTTCCATGGAGTGGCTGGTGGATTGGAACTGCCAACCTTTTGGTTAGCTGCTCTAGCTCTTAACCACTGCACCACCAGGGCTCCACAAGTCACTGAAAACACCTTGTTTTAACCAATTACCGTTAACCTGACTCAGTTCACTCTTACTCCAAGGAAAGACTTGCCCATCCAGCCCCCGTGATCTGTTTGCTTAGTGTTCTTGTCCCCATGTTACAAATAAGGGAAGAGGCTCAGTGTGGTGCAGTGACTTCTGGGCAAGTCCATGTCATCAAGGCGCAGCCTCCCATTAGGCTCCTTCTCAGCTGCAGCCTCAGTCTGTTGCATAATGGAAAAGACACGAAGACCAGAGGGTGAAGGTTACAAGGAGATGCCGATCCTCAGTAAAGAGAAGTTGTTGATATGTATTCGAGGTTAATAATCCATGAAACCACAGAATCATAATGTTAAAGCTTAAAGAGACCCCAACAAAACAACCTCAGTGTTAAACTTTGCTCCTCGGGGTTTCCATCTCAGAATAAAACCCTTGTTCAGTGAATTGGAGGATATTCTCGGAGCATATGGGGTTCCGGAACCCCCCATCCCACTCAACCAGGAGCAGCTCTGAGTTTATCTGTTTTATCTGATCGACTTCTGACTATAAGGCTTGGATTGACAAAAAGATTTGAAAACCATTGATCTACTTTAAACCTCTGATTTTAGAGATGAGGAAATATGGATGCTGAGAGGCTTGCCCAAGTTCACACAGGAATCCAGTGTCCATCATCAGGATGCTGGTCCCCAAAAGGGGAAGAAAAAAAAAAAGAGAGATAGTTGAAGTGGAATTTCAGAATTGAACTGTCCTGGGCTTGATTGCTCTGTTTGGGGCAGGGCCTTCCAGACTGGACAACGGAACACACAAACTCATTTCTGGGAGGGACTAGGACCACAGTGAAGTTCATGGGCTGCTGGCATAGGGCGTGGAGAAGTCACTCTTATAGCTACAACTAGTTAAATAAGGATAGGTGAATATGCAGGCAGGGAATCTATTACTGGCTATGATCTGTGATACCAGAGCCCTCATTATGTTGGTAACATTGGCTATTTATATCTGAGGGCAATGAGGCCTCCTATGTGCTCTGGTTTTCTTCCAATGATCCAGAACAATAGCCAGCATTTACAAGGGAACCATGGGATTCTCTCCCATTACCATTCTGCCTTATACAACTGTCTCCCCTCTTTCCACTACGTTCTCCACATGTAAGATCATGTAAGTCAGCCCTGGGAAGAAAACATAACTTTGCTGCTCCTGGATCAAGCATGCCAATGATCTATGGGCCATTCTCTTTGCTGAAAATTGTCTGGCTTGAAAAATAGTGTTCCCATCCTTGACAACTCATAAAAAGGCTGGGTAAGAGAGAGTAGGAAAGAGCCTAGTTTCAAAGTAAAGCACTTGGGAAGCTTTAGGACGCGGAGATTCATTCCTGAGTCTGAAATGGAGAAATTCCCTACCCAGCTTTGAGCTCCTAAGGTGTGAATCTTGTGCTTTTTCCAAAAGAGGGAGAAAGAAAGCCCACAGCCAGCATCCTGTGAGCCCGGCACAGCACTTACCTCCTCACCATTCTGGCCCAGCTCTACCTTGTGGGGGAACAGGGGAAGAGAGCAGGGCGGTTTCCTTCTTGTTGGTTTACTGGCTGGTGTCTAGAGGTTGGGCGACAGACAGACACATGGAAAGAGAGAGAGAGCTAGTCAGGCACAGGGAGGAAGAGGAAGGAAGTGGAAGCTGGTTTTAGGAATGTTTAGGGAGGTCTGGAGGAGAAAGAAAGGATGAAGGGTTGCATGTCGTTGGGACTGCTCATTGACTGTTATATAAACTAAGTTTATTTAACCATCTACCCATTTTAACCTTCTTCAGCCTCTCCTCTCCCTTTCCTGCTAGCGCGTCCCCTTTAATTTGAGACCCTCTGACGGGCAACACAATCTCACAATGTCATGCATATCTAGCTTTCAAGTAGTGCCTTTAAAAACTTAGATCAATACCATCTTCCTCATCTTTTATGACATTCCTATAATGTCTAGAAATTATAGATCTGATTTTTCAGATGCAAAAACAAAAGCATGAGCATGCCAACTGTGTTCTCCTTTGCCCTGAGGGGCCGTATAAACCTTCCCCACCTCTGAGCGCCCTGCCCTCATCTCACTTCTAATGAGCTCCTCATACTACGTAACTAGGGAAAACCTAGCCCAAGTCTCCCCAAAGTTTAGACACACCTTCCTTTTCGCACTTTCTTTCCCCTCCAGCAGGATTCCTCGAGACTCCATTGGTCTCTGGATGCCTTTCCTTCCTGACCCCTAGCTGCTGTCTGATTGTGCTTCCCTTCCAGTCCCCTCTTCTTTCTCAAGTCTCTATTCGGAATCTGCCCCAGCCTTGCCCTGCTCCTGATTCTTAGTTTGGGAGGCAGAAGCAGGGCAAGGGGAATTCTTATTATTAAATAATATTTCATTGCATGTCTGGTGAAAGTTTGCACAGCAAATTAGGCTCCCATTTAACAAATTCTACACAAATTGTTCAGTGATATTGGTTACATTTTTCACAATGTGTCAATATTCTCATTAATTTCATTCTGAATGTTCCATTTCCAGTACTATAGTTTCCCTGCCCCCTTACCTTCTCATCTTTGCTTTAGAGTAACTGTTGACTATTTAGTCTCTTACAAATGATTTTTCAAAGGAGCACAGTGCTCACAGATGATATTCTTTATTTTACGAGCCTGTCTGTTATTTAGCTAATGGGTGACCTCAGGGGATACTTTCAGTTCAAGGTTTAAAGAGCATCTCAGGGCAACAGTCTCGGGGAGTCCTCTAGTCTCAATCGATCCAGTAAGTCTGGACTTCTTAAGAATTTGAGTTCTGTTTGTGGGGAACCTCTTCACTTAGAACCAACCCAGGCCTGGCACAGCTGTGTGAGATTTAAGACTGTAACAGTGGACGATCAAGATGAAAATGAAGCAGACTTTTGTCTTAAAATGATCCATAATGTCATTGATATCACCAAATTGTACATGTGGATAAAACGTTGAATTGGCAAATGTTGTGTTTTATATAAAACCAAAAAACCAAACCTGTTGCCGTTGAGTCGATTCCAACTCATAGTGACCTGACAGGACAGAGCAGAACTGCCTCATAAGGTTTCCAAGGAACAGCTGGTGAATTCGAACCACTGACCTTTTGGTTAGCAGCCATAGCTCTCAACCACTGCACCACCAGAGCTCCATGTTTTATATCAGAATTGACTTGATGGCAACGGGTTTTTGGTATATATATATATACATATATTTATACTTAAAAAAAAAAAGAATCCAGATTCCCATCTCTAGCAGGCAGGGCTTGTCACTTTCGTCCCCATCTTTCAGCTCTCCTCGCCAGAGCATGCGCCTCACTCTGGTGGAAAGCTTCTGCACCAGGCACAGAGGCAGTGGTGACATTCCTTGCATTCAAAGAGACCCCTCTCTGGCTTCTCTTCCTAATTTGGCAATTACCAAGCCTCCTCCTCCCTCTTCCTGGGCCTGACCCAGACTTCCCCTTCCTCCAGCCCCCCTCCAGAAGAGGGACTCCGAGGCCCCCTGACTCACCTCCTTGGCTGCAGCTGCCTGCTCCCTAAACCGCCCGGCCAGCTGGGCCACCGAAAGGGACGCGGAGTTGTCCACATTGGCATTGGTCTCTGCTGGTCTTCCCTGGCAAAGCAAGGAGGAGAAGCAAAGTTAATCAGCAAACATGTCCTCTGGGTCTTGTAAGTGTTGGGTACCGGGCTCTGCGCAAGGCATTTGTGTCGCCACAAACGGGAATGATGTGACAATGCAGAATTTCAACAGCATTTTGCAACTGGCTCCTGCATTAAAGGGTTATTAAAAACCACTCAGTCAATCCCACTTAGTGAATATTTACAGTGTGCCTGGCCCTGGGCATGGCGTTGGGGATCTGCAGAGGAATGAAACTTGGTCCTGTTCGGGAAGTGTGCCAGGGACCTTGGAGGCAGTACAAGCCTGGGGTCCCTCAGTCCTCAAGGACCCCACCTGAAAAGGAGTGTCTTTCAGACAGTGTAGGAATCTCTATCTTCTGTTCAGATGAGGCTTTGAAAAATGGGGATGGTAAAATGTGTTTGGAGAGGGCTTTTAATTGCATAAGGCGAGATGAGCAAATGTCCTTTATTGAACTTTTATCATCTAAGTCTGTATCTTATCTGCTCTACTTAACTGAGTGCTTGGAGAAGGTGTGTTCAGTAAATGTTTGTCGAATGAAGAAATAAAT